GGAGACGGCGGGGAGCGGGGCCCGGGCGGCCGCACGCCTGGCGCGGCAGAGAGCGGCCATCCAGCGGCTCCTGAGCGGCTGGCGAGATGCCGCCTCCCGCCGCCCCCCGCCGCCGCCCCCCGCCCGCACCCTGCTCTCCCCGGAGCAGTTCGTGTCGGCGGCGGGGGGCGGCCCGGCCGTGTACGAGAGCCTGTCGCTGGAGCTATTTATGCTGGGCTATTTCCGCATCTTGGAGCAGGACCTGTCCCCCGAGGAGCGCCGAGGCCGCCACCTGCTCTGTTTCGAGGTGTTTGAGCAGCTGGGCCGGCACGGCTGGCGGGCGGTGCGGGCCTTCCACCGCGCCGTCATCGACGAGATCGCGGCCGGGCGGCGCGGCTGGCGCGACGGCTTCGAGGACATCAAGGCACGGTACTTCGGGAGCTCCCACAGCCCGGCCCAGCGGCCGGGACAGCCCGGGGAGGAGGGGGACGAGATTTGTCGCTACATCGATCGCAGCTTCGCCTTTTGGAAGGAGAAGGAGGCCGAGATCTTCAGCCTGGAGGAGTGATGCCGAGGGGCTTCGGAGGCCGCGGGCTGCAATAAAAACCTTCTCGGTTCTGTCCCAGCTGAGCGAGGCTTTCCGGGACGGTGAAGAAAGCTGCTAAGCTGGGCCGGCCGCCTCAGCACCCCGGCTCCCCCTTTCCCAGGGCGAGCGTTTCAATCCTCGGCTGCCGCCGCGTGTTTACGGCTGCGGCGGAGTGAGATAAGGACCTTATTTATAGCGGCTCCGACACTGAGAGCCGGACGAGTGAGGAGGGCATCGTGGGGACCCCCTGCTGCCGATGGGGTGGAGGGAGGGTCCTGTGCGAGCTGTCCGTCCAGGCTCGCTGGCCACCCGACCCCTCCGCGAGGGGAAGGATTTCCTAAAGGCAGCGGTGTTGCGGGATGGGACAACGACGAGGATGGACGGCGGCGAGAGCTCTGCCCGTGCGGTGCCTTTAAGAGGGGGGAGCAGTGTCCAGGTGCCGCCTAAAAATAGCGAGGGCCCCTGGTCCCGGCTGATCCCGTGTGGAGCGGCGTGTCCCTGCGCCGGGACCGCGCTCCCTCCCCGCCCGCCGGCCTGGGGAGCACTGCTGAGAGCGGGAGCGACCGCCCCAAATCACCCCGAAAATCATCCCCAAAAGGCCGGTGGCCGTCCCGACAGGGCAGCTGTAGCGTGGTGAGGAGAAAACACCGCCACCGTGGGAGGGGGGGGCTGTGGGAAGCGCTTGTGCCGTCGCTGCTGTCCGTGACTCGGGCACTGGGAAGGGGGGAGGGTGTCGCGGCAGGGGGAGAGGGAGACACGGTCGCCTTTTCCTAGCAGGGACACCCTCGCCTCCCGCTGCTTGGGCATTGCCCGCCTGCCAGGCCCCACGGCCGTCCCCGGCACCATGGTGAGGAACATGGACGACTTTGACTTCTGCCTGCCTTCGCACGCCCAGGGCGTGCTGGAGGGGCTGCAGCAGTTCCGCACCAACCCCAAACTGGCCGACGTGACGCTGGTGGCGGGAGGGCGGGAGTTTCCCTGCCACCGAGGCGTCCTGGCCCTCTGCAGCCACTACTTCTATGCCATGTTCTCTGGTGACTTTGCTGAGAGCATCGCAGCACGGGTGGAGCTAAAGGAAGTCGATCCCAGTGCCCTGGAGATGCTGCTTGATTTTGCCTACACGGGGAAGGTCACCATCAACCAGGGCAACGTGGAGGGGCTGATGCGAACCTCCAGCCAGCTCCACTTCCCTGCTATCCAGAAAGTTTGCAGCCGCTACCTCCGGCAGCAGATGGATGCCACCAACTGCCTAGGTATCTGTGAGTTTGGTGAGAGCCACGGCTGCCCTGAGGTCTCCTCCAAGGCCTGGTCTTTCTTGCAGGAGAACTTTGAAGCCGTCTCTCTTCAGGAGGAGTTCCTCCAGCTCTCCAAGGAGAGGTTAGCTGTCTACCTCTCCAATGACCAGCTGCAGGTGCAGGAGGAGCGGAGCCTGGTTGAGGCTGTCCTGCGCTGGGTGCGCCACGACCCGGGATCCCGAGCCCAGTTCCTGCCGGAGCTGCTGGAGCTGACCCACCTTGTCTCGCTGCCTGACCAGTACCTGCAGAACCTCCTTGCCACTGAGCCTCTTGTTCGTGACTCAGATGCCAGCAAGGGCCTCATTGCCCGATCCCGCACCATGGTGGGTACCCCCTTCCCCTAAATGCCACTCCCTGAGCTGGAAAGGAGGAGCCTGATGGCCCCTCCCCGGCCTCTTCGTCAGGGGCAGAGTGGCACCGGTGCCCTGAAGAACCCCCCAAGCCCACCACAGAAGCTAGAAGAGGTGCTGGTGGTGGTTGGTGGCCGTGTGCTGGAGGATGGTGAGGATGAGGAGAGGGGGCTGGAAATGCCGTCTGCCACCAGGAACTTTGCCTTCTACAACCCCAAAAGCAGTAAGTGCCCCCCATTTCCTCCACCTCCATTTATGCTAATTAACCATCTGTCTACCCCAAAGCCATCTCTTCCCAAACTAGTGTCAGTTTAGAGAGACACTGGTTGGGTTGGGATGGGTGGAAACAGGGGTGGCTTAGAAAGTGCCATGGCTGGCTGTGGGGTCATTGCTTGGCTCTGCTGGATTTCAGGGCAATGGATGGCTCTGCCTGACTTCCCTGACTACAACAAATGGGGCTTTTCCCTGGTGGCTCTGAACAACGATGTGTACGTCACAGGTCAGTGCCAGGGCTGCTGGTGCAGGGTGGGGGCTTCGAGGAGCAGGGGTGGAGGACAGAGGACAATGACATGAGCATGAAGCACAGATGTGGGGCCCAGAGGCTCCTCTCTGAGCAAAATCCTCTCCTTACTCTCTACTTGGGCAAATCTGGCCACTGGCAAAGAATACCCAGGGACAGCTGCACTTGGGAGACGGTGGCCACCTGACCCGTCTGTCTCTAGGTGGCTCCCGAGGGTCCCAGAATGACACGTGGTCAACAACGCAGGCCTGGTGCTTCTGCCCCAGGGATGGTGTCTGGAAACCCATCGCTTCCATGCTGAGAGCCCGGACAAACCACACCAGCGCTGTCCTCAATGGTGAGATCTACGTCATCGGGGGTAAGGCTGCAAAGACCCTGTGGGTGTTGCTAGGGTGGGGGTCCATGAGAGCAGCAGGGTGGCTGCAGTGTCCTGTCACCCTGCAGGGACAACAGTGGATGTGGTGGAGGTGGAGCGCTATGACCCGTACAACAAGAGCTGGTGTGCCATCAGCCCAGCCCTCAAGTACGTGAGCAATTTTGCAGCTGCCAGCTGCTTGGGCAAGCTCTACCTGGTGGGCTCCTGCGCCGTCAAGTACAACGCACTCACTCTGCAGTGCTACAACCCTGTTCAAGGTGAGAGCTGACCCTGCTGCCACACCCCACCAGTGTTGTCCCTGGGAGAGGGGCTGAGGGGGACCCCCAGGCAGGTGACCCCCCCCCCAGCCTGCCAGGCATGGTCCTGTGGGATGTGAGCAGGTGCTGGCAGGGTGTGGTGCTGGCTGTGGAGCCCCGGGAGCGTGGCTGTTAGCAGCATGGACTCGAGTCACAGATGTCCGACAGCCCTGGCCTGAGGTTCAGTGCAGTGGAATCTCTGAGGCAGTGGGGTGGGGGAGGCTGCTGACGTCCTGTGACAATGCCACCTCCTCAAGTGGACTCTTTCCCATCCCACAGAGCGGCTACAAACCACGTCCCCACCCCCCACTATTCTTTATGCACGACCTTCCACTGGGATGGGGACTGTGGGTGCCAGTCTGCCTGCCTGGTCTGCCTCCTCCCTTTCAAATTCCCCCTGAAATAGCAATGCTTTTTTCAGCAACTGGCAGCTGCATCGAGAGCCAAGGGTGGGATGCACTGCTAATGACAGCTCCTTGCAGATCTGTGGAGTGTGATCACATCTCCCTTCATCCCCAAGTACCTGTCAGCCCCACGCTGTGCCACCCTTCGTGGGCTCATCTACCTCATCGGGGATAACACCAAGAAGGTCCATGTGTACAACCCAGAGGCCAACATCTGGCAGAAGGTGGGATGTGGGATCAGGCACGATCAGTCTCCCAAGGACATGGGGATGGTGTTCCCAGCTGCTTCCCCTCAGTGCCAGCACTCTCCCTCCTACCCACTCATCCCTTGGCTCTATTAACACCTGCAGAGCTGAGGCTGCCCCCATTTCTTCCTCCCTTTCTCCCCATCACATGTGTGAGGCACCAGAAGCCCTTAAACCTCACAGAAGATGGGGTAGACATGTCACTGTCATCTGTGGTGGGAGTAGGAGGTCACCAAGGAGTCCCTGCACATCTCACCCTGTCCCTCACACAGGTGCAACTCCTACACACACTTCATGAGAATGGTGGGATGGTGGCAGTGGGTGACCGGCTCTTTGTCACCGGTGGCCACTGGAAGGGCATGGATGGAGACTACCAGGTAGAAATGGAGGTGTATGACTGCACCAAGGACCTCTGGACGTGCGAGGGCTCCCTGCCCTGTCTCTGGCTCTTCCACAGCTCCTCCTCCATCTTCATGGACACCTCCAAGTGGACAGAACCTTTCCAGGGTGACCATGGGTGGTAGGGGAGCCTCAGTGATGCCCATCACCCTATGCAGCCATGCTCCCCTTTTTCTGCTGCCTGTTGGGGCAGATTGACGAGTGAGGGGTGGAAAGGCCCGTGCCAGGCTGGCTGGGGCACCAGGAGCATGTTCTCCCCTACTAATGCAGGGAAAAGGCTTTTCCTTATAAACACGCTTTGGTTAACGCTCTCTCCTTTTCGTTTGTGGGTTTGTGGCTTTTTAAGAACCTTTTTCCCCCTCCAAAACACTAAAGATTTTCGAAGCGTTTAAAAACACGCCGCGCTGAGGAGCCCCAGGGCTGGGTGGGCGTCTCCGGTCCCAGGGGCGCTGCTCCCCGCGGCCCACGCGAGGTTTTACCCGCAGGGAGGTCCCCGGGAGCCGAGGGCAGAGCCCGGCAGCGAGGCGGGGCCGGTAGCGGTAGCGGCGGGATGCGGCTGCCGGAGCTGTGCCTGGCGCTCCTCTGCGCCACCGGCACGGGCACCGAACCCCCGCGAGCAGCCCGGGAGCGGCCGCTGGCTCCGGGAACAGCCGCGGGCCGTGCGGGGCCCGGAGCTGCCCCCGTGGATCCCCGGCAGGCGTGGATGCTGCTGGCCGGGAGCTCCGGGCCGGGAAACGGCGAGCGAGGCCGCGGCCGGAGCGGGGCTCGCACGGCCCCAGCAGGCGCCGGCTCTCCGGAAAAACCAACCTCGGCTGCCCCGGCCTCCCCCAGGATGCCGGAGGAGCTGCTGAGGGAGCTGCAGCTCCTGCTCAGAGGTACCGGGGTGGGGGAGCCAAGGTGGGAGCTGTGGGGGACAGCAGGACAAGGCAAAGCAGGGCTGGGCAGCAGAGTTGGGGAAGGTGAAGGTTCCCTTCCTAACGTCAGACTCCGGTGGGGTTTGGGGTCAGGCATGGCAAAGCTGTGCAGGACAGCTGGGGAAGGGCGTAAGGAGGAGGAAAGCAGAAAAGGCAACCTCCGGGGCGGAGTCCAGCACCGTGTGGAAGCAGCCTTCCGTTGCCGAACGCGTGAAGACATCACTGTGGAGCAGAAGATGTGGCAGGAGCTGGGGTTGTTCTACATTGTAAGTGCCCAGCCTGCCCCTTTTCCCTGTGTGCAGGGGCACCTACCCTGGCACAGGGACTCCTCTAACTCCAGCCATTCCCTCTTCCAGCCAGAGAGGGAGGGGATGTTCCACCGTGGCCCGGGGCTGAACCTGACCAGTGGGCAGTACAAGGCCCCGATTGCAGGGTACTACGCCTTCACCAGCACGCTGCACATTGGTGAGCCCTCAGCCAGGCCATGGCCCTGCCAGTGCAGGCTGGGATGGCTGTCACCCCCTGCTCTGTCACAGCACACAGGGAGCCGCAGAGGAAGGGCCAGGGATGGCGAGGGAGCCGCCTGCGGGTGCTGATCTGTGTGCAGTCCCGCTGCCAGCACAACAGGTATGGCACAGCAAGGCCAGGAACCCTGGGCAGGGAGGAGGGAAGGAGTCCAGCATCCCTGGTAAAGGAGGGACCTGCTCCCCCCACCACTACTGTCCCTCTTCTGCAGCAATCTGGAGACTGTATCTCAGCTGGGGAACAGTGGGGACCTTTTCACCATCTCTGTCACGGGCACCCTTTACCTGCAGGTTAGTGGTGCCAGCCCCACTGGTGACAGCCCTGGGAGGAAGGTGCCTTCCATGGGCTGGGCATCAGGTCTGCTTCTCAGGTGACCTCCAAACCCCAAAGGCAGTCAGGGCAGAGCTCTGCTAGGGCACTATGGCACAGACCATGGCTGGGCTGCCCCTAAAGGCGCTGTGCTGCTCTTTTCCCAGAAGGAAGGGTAGGGGCAGCTCCTCCAGCTCTTGCTTCCTGTGTGCAGGGGACAGCTCTCTCCTTGGCTCTGGTGCCCAGGGGAGGTGTCCTGGCCCTGCTGATCCCTCTCTCCCCCCAGGCTGGGCAGTATGCCTCCGTTTTCGTGGACAACTCGGCAGGCTTTCCCCTCACAGTTCAAAGTGGTTCCGATTTCAGTGCTGTTCTGCTGGGAGTGTGAAGAGGCACCACGCTGAACCTCTGCCAGCCACCATGGTGTCTCCCCTGCTCAGCACCAAGCCTAAGAAAGAACATTTGCTCATGCAGGAAGCTGCAGTCTGGTCTGATATTGCTTGTGCTGCAGAACCAGCCAAAGATGGACAAAAGATCATGAAGAAGATGATGATGATAATAATAAAGCAGCCTGACTAGGACATAAATGCATTCACTTTTATCTAAAGGCTAGGCCTAAAAGTTTATCTTGGAAAACACTGCTGACAGTGGCAGCAGATGGTTGCCTTGTCCCTAGGGCTCAGCTCCCACTGTGCCTGTAAAAAGCCCCACACATCCACTTTTTCCCTTACTGGAATTCCCTGCCCACACTTAGTCTCAGCAGCCCAAGCCAGATTATTATCTATTATTATCTATTGCTTTAGCTGTCCTGCAGGCTATGAGCAGTGAAGGTTTGCTGGCAGGAGCAAACATCCTTTGCACTAATCATCAAAGCAAAGTCCCAATAATGCTCCACATTCAATTAAAGCAAATTCCTGTCCTGTGACTCTCCACAGCAGGCACTCCCTGCCTGTGGCACAGGGCCCAGGCTGTGGACAGCAGATACACTCTTTGCTCTGGCTGCGATAGCTGCCTGAGCTGAGGATGGGCACAGGCCTACGTGACCACGCCAGGGCTGCAGGAGAAGCACCAGGAAAGCCGAGCGTTTGATTTCCTAGTAGCACTGCCTAAGTCGTGCCAGCAACACTGCAAGATAGCCTGAGCTGTACCCAGCCCCACCTTCTCCCAGGGATGTCCCAGGACCCGCCTGCCCATCTCCAGGGCTGCATCTCCTTGAGGAGCCTGGTGAAGGAGCTGTTAATGCAGCAATTTATGGGTAGGGGTGTTTGGGTCTGGGGAGGAGGGGGATGCTGACTCAATGCTAACTTCTCCCAAAGCAAAGAGAACTTGTCTCTGAGAGCAATGCTGTGCTTCACCCCCCCACCCCCGTGCCTCATCACCTGAGCTGATCAGGTGGGCAGCAGTCTCCTGGCACAGCTCCTGCCCAGCTGTAGAACTTGGCCATGGTAGCACCTCCCAGTCCCCACACACAATGAGCCTTGCTCTGATCAGCTGCCTCTCTTCCTACTACCCATACCTAAGAAGGTAGAGAAGTGTCTGGAAGCAGGACTTGCCCAGCTGTGAGCTGTCCTGTGCAGGTGAGATACCAAGAGTCCAGTGTGCTTGATCACAAAACTGAAAAAGCTAATTAAGAGAGGTACTCAAAGGGTAATTAAAGCGTGGGAAGAGGACAGAAGCTCTGTCAGCCCCAAGGGAGAGAACTGCCTGCAGAGCACTTGTGCATGGTTCACCTGTAAGAGACTATCCCAAGATTCCCTCATTTGCCTCAGGACCATCACAAGAACAGAGACCTAGACCCTGAAGACCCCAGGGAACTTTTGTGCAGGGGTTCTGGCCTGGTTGAGGTGGATGCTTGCTAAGTGACTGTTTGAAGGTGTGCTCCACCTATACAATTGTGATTGTTTGCAGGTGTTTGCTGGGCTGCCTTGTTCCTGCTGCTGAGCAGGGACTGGGGAGGGGTAGCCTGTTCTGTACCTCACACCTGCTTCACAGAGCAATGGGTCTTATCACAATGGCCTGTGAAACTCCCCTCCTCTTGGCCAACTGCCCCTTGCTTTGAAACAGAAAAAGTGACTACTTTCTCTGAGGGAAACGGAAGACTCTGTGTCAACAGATGGCTGAGAGGACTTCGGCATTGGTAGCTATAATCCCCCTTACTCTCTTTTTCCTATACTTTGCTTTCTCTTCTTTTCCCTTTATCACATATTAGTGCTGATGAGCACTCAATAAAGTGTGTTTTACTGTTTGAGTCCCTAGTGTGCTGATAACCTTTTGTACTCTAAGATCAAATAAAAGAACCACATCACGAATCCCACCTTGTGGATCGTGACACCACCCTGAAGTGGTCCTGGAGCTCTCCTCAGTAGCAGGATGCTGCTGAGCACTGAGGCAAGGAGAGTGCCTTTTCAGGAAACCTCCTGCAGACCCTGTCTTACCATGAAATTAAATGGTTTGTTTTACTTCTGCTAAAGCTGGGGCTGAGCCTGCTTTTCTACCCGTCTGTCTACTCTCAAGCATGGTAAGACCTGCTCCTTCCTTTTCCCCTTTGCCATGAAAAATGGTCATTTTATGGTAATTAACTATACCATAACATTTGCATATTCCAATCCTAGCTGGAGCTGTGCTTTCAGAACTTTTTCTAAAAGGCAGAAAAGCAGTGTTGCAAGAGGAGGGAGGGGGAGGGAAAGCAGTCAGAGAAGGATAAGCTAACATTCCTCTCAGCAGCTCTTGCACTGGAATTCAGAGTGGCCCCCTGGAAGGAGCTCCTGAGCTGTGAGCATGGCTCAGCTCTTGCAGCATGGCACAGTATAAGAGGTAGAAAAAGGGGGAGCTGAGAAGAGAAATTACCTTTCTGAAATTTGCCATCAGGGTTTCTTTTGCCAGAAACAGAAGCAACTCCACACTATGTCTGGGCTCTCCAAATTTGCCTTTCAAGAGTAGAAACAGGAGTATGCTGCTTACAAAGGCACTCCCTCTCAGCTCATCCTGCAGTGCAACCTTACATCAGAGTACACAGGAATGGCTGCAAGCAGAATAAGCTGGCAGAGGACAAGCACTACCCAAAATTTATGCCAAGAGGGCCACTTCCTTCCTTAGCCCTCTGCAGAGAGTCAGTGTGCACCCTCAAACTAAGGCCATGAAGTGTAGCTGACTACTCCCGGAGCAGAAATAGAAGTAGGATGGTCAGGCCACCTGTCCCAAACAGGACAGCCATCGTGTGCTCCAGCAAACAGCCCAGGAGCTGGGACCATCTCCTAAAGTTCCAGGGATACAGAACACAGAAAGGAGCCAAGGAAGCCTCGCAGCTCTGCACAGGGCTATGCACAAAACACCCTGCCCCCTTCCCCTGGGACCATAGCTGTGCCTCATCAGAACAAGGAGACAACCACAGTGCAGAGCCCTCAGCTCACCTCACTCCCTGCCCCCCTCATACACAGGGTGGGAAATTGGAAACTTAAGTGCTTAGGTAGCCGAGTCCATTTAGCTTTCATTCTGTCACTTGATCTTCAGCCAAATTTTCTCTGGAAAACAGCACACTGACTGCAGCAACAGCTGGTAGAGGCACTGAGGATGAGACACCAGACACTTATTAGTACCTAAAACCTGCAAGGCCTTCTCCTCAGATAGCACAGACAAGCACAGAGCCTGCCTGCAGCTCAGCTGCCTGGCCAGTCCATTTGGTGAAAACACTTTTTCCAAAAAGCATTAGGAGCAAACTCTGGCCATTTTTTCCATACCAATATTGTGGTAAAACTCCAACATGTTCTGCAAGCACAGGCAAGGCATGCTGCTGCTCTGGAAGGTGTGTTTGTGCCCCTCAGCTGCAGGCAACCTCAAAAGATTTCCTACTTCCTACACACTACTGAAAGTGTGAAGAGGACAGCCCATACCACATCCCAAGCTGATGGCCTAGAGTACCTCGCAGTCTGTATGGTACAGCCTGTCTGGGAGCTCCCATTGAGTCCTGGAATTCTGGACTCTCCCAGGGTCTTGCACAAAGCTCAAGGATATTGACAGCAGAACTGTCCCATTTCAAACAGCTGGCAGGGCTCATGCCTCCAAATGCTTCTTGCTAGCACCCCTGCCAAATGAATTTACTGCATTTGCAAAGACATTCAACCCTACCAGCTAAGTGAGCTAAACCTCTTAGAAAAAAACCCATCTTTATTTACACTGAAGAGCATCCAGCAGGACCCACCCTCTCCCAGCCACACATGCATGCACACAGACCTCTCCCTTTCCTTCCATCCAGCACACCTCATCCCTCAGTGCTCTATCCGGACCACCATGACCGTGACGTTGTCGGCCGAGCCTCGCTGCACTGCCTTGTTGGCCAGTCTGTTACAGGCAGCCTCATACCGAGCATCTGCTTCCAGCTTCCCTTCTCTCATCTGGATATTCTTATCCTGTTGGGACAAAGGAATTTGACTGCTCCCAGACAAGGTATGTACATTGTATTTTCCAAGCACTGGAAAGCAAAATAAACACAGACAACCCAGGCAATAAGGGAGGATACTCTGGCAGAAGTCATCTCATGCCCTCTGCACTGACAAACTGACAAACCCAGCCCCCATGCCACCTTCTCCTCACCTCCAGGCAGGACACAATGAAGTTCACAGCTTCTTCTGGTGAAAAGACTTTAAAGAGGCCATCACACGCTATCAGAATGAACCTGGAAATCAAGTGAAGACACGTTCCAAGGCTGAATTTTTGGCTTCCCAGCTTGCAAATCCCTCCAATCTATTTTATGAACATCCATGCTCGGACCCAAAGGGAAGATGCCATAAAAGCTCATCTGAAAATCCCTTGAGACCTACCATTCATTCCTCAATTCAAAATACAGGACAAAGAGACAGGTAACTAATGTAAGACCTAGATCAGGACATCCTGGCTGTCCCACAACACTGGCAAGATCACATATGATCCTGGCCAAATGCTCCATTGTTTCTCTAAGAACTGGTTCTCTCCTTAGAGTCCTTTCCATTCATGTGTTTTCCCTGTGAAGCAGCTAATGCAAGGAAATAGAGAAACAAAGCTGAATCCCTCATGTATCACTTTAAATTTCTACACTACTGAGGTATGTGGTAATTTAAATATCCAAATTCAAAAGAAAAGCATATGACACAACAAAAACTCTGACACAGGCTGCAGAAAGTTGAGGAGATACAAAGCCCAAGGCAAGGACAATATCCCTCTTAGATGGGAAGACAGCCTGCTGTGCACTCCCTGCCTGCACAGGGAATTGTATTAACCAGAGCCACCAGGACAAAGAAAACTACAAACAACCTACAGAAGTGGTCAGTCTGCATGCACATGCCTCTGAAGACATCATTTCAGTGCTTGATACTCAAGAGTATCTTTAGAAATATTTTCGTGGATCACTTGATACAGAACTCTAATCCCAGAAAAAGCACCAGTACTGGGTTACACTCTCACCTCTGAGTCTGCAGGGCCATACTGACACAAAAGCTCACTACAATTTGTCGTTGCCAATCATATCATGGAAAAGTATCTCAAATCTTC